TAAACTATACTTACAATTAAAGAATTATTCAATTATTGTTCATTTTGTTTTCTGTTTTCAGAATAAAATAATAAGATAATGGTGAATCTATCCATAAGACGCTTTATATCGTTCATTCTCATGGTGTAAATACAGCATATTAAAGTGTTACCTCCTTGTTCTTCTTGTCTTTTTCAGAGGTGTCATCTTCATCTTTATTTCTTTTGCTAAAACCATTGATCAATAGTTTATGACATTAATCTAAACTATAATATAATAGATCCATACAAAGGGGTAGGTATTCACATGTTGCTGATCTTCCCATCACTGGCAATGATCCCTAGTGATACAGTTCCCTAGTGATACAGTTCCCTAGTGATACAGTTCCCTAGTGATACAGTTCCCTAGTGATACAGCTCCCTAGTGATACAGTATCACAACGACCTAATACTGGCGTTTCCTCCAACTGCTTGAGGAATGGCAAGGCAATGACAGCTTATCATGCAGAGTTTAACTCTACACACATCACCTTAAAGCATTATTCAAGAGCAGGGCTATATAGAATGCTTATTGGCAAAATTCTTGGAGATAAACATATAAACATATAAACACATAAAATCAAAAACTGTGATCATAGATGTCATTTTTCATTTTTGTTGTTGTTGTTGCCAATGAACTCTTGCTTTCTTTACCTGCTTTTACTACTTTTGCTTTCTCTTTCTCTACTCCTTGATCTGGACTTTGATGAACTTTTACTTTTGGACCTTCTTCTTCTTTCTCTACTGTGACGACGTTTCTTGCGATCAGTACTTCTACTTCTAGACTTGCGTTTCTTTTCTYTYCTGTCGGGGCTGCTGCTTGGRCTTCTACTTGATGAGCTACTGCTTGAYGAATGRCTACGTCCTCTTTTTTTGCTTCTGTTTTTGTCCCTTCTTCTGTCCCTCTCTTTATCTCGTGCTCTGTCTTTTTCTCTATCTCTTCCTCTATCTCGTTCTCTTTTGCGATCTTGATCCCTGTAATTAACTCTTTCTCTGCTTCTTGATCTCTTTCTTCTACTTCTGTCAGGACTTCTAGAACGACGATTTCTGTCGCTTGGTGACACAGACCGTCTACCACGCCTGTTGATAGAGGTGGGAATAGGATAGATTTAGTCAATGTCTGTCATGACAGTTATAGATCCAAGTATTACAGCTCTGCCCTTGGGCAGTTAGAATGCTTTGGTATTTTAACTGATAACTTTGATTACAAAACAAATGATTAACTATATGCTAAGGTACAGGTAATGCCTATAAAGGCAACCAATCTATACCACGATGGCAACAGCTACAGCAACWACATGTATGTTTTGTATAGATTTACATCTAAATTTCACAGTAACACCAAAACTGCTCTGAKATACCATACCTGCTATCACGGCCCATATTTATGTTGTTTGTACTCTCCCTGGCATATTATCTGTAAACAAGGAGAAGACATTTTTGAAACATATTCATGCTACATAACCTACACTGTACTATAAGGAACAAGAGATCAACCATCAAATGTGAAGATCATATTTGTTGCAGCGCGGCAATATTTGACGTGATGCGTAAACACATTCGTTGAATCAACTCTAAATTAAATTTGCAAGTAATTCAATGACATTATTGAGTTTTACTAGGTAAAGTTGTCGCAGTACACAATAGCACATGGTATCAACAACAACGACTAAGTTACGTCAAATGTCAGTTTCATACTCAAAAACCATATTATTATGAAGTTATATTGATAAAAAAAATACATCCATGACATACCTCGTTARGAAACAATGAATCCAATGGAATGATTAAATTTCTAATTTATATTTTCTATCAAAACTTCATCTTTTTATTTTATGAAAGATCCAGGAGTACAGCAGTAACACTTGGGAGCATGCGTGTTGCTTCACTTTTACCGCAAGACCCGGATAAGACAGGAAGCCCAATATACTCTCTCTTTTCGAAACTCGAAATCTTCGCGCGCCCATATAATATTCCAATTTGTCAGTAGCTACCCTATCAGACATTTTTTGCGCTTCGGTAAAAATTTGTCTGGCATGAAAAATTTATTTTTAAAATCAAGTTTTCGAAATAGAAAAAAAAAACCGTCATCACATTGACTCTGAGAAGAACTGTTTTGAAGAACTGTTTTGAAGAACTGTTTTGTGATATTTTTAGAAAATGTTCGCGCGAGGTTTACTTTAAAGTTTTCATTAAAAAATATTTAATATTCTAAAATGAGAAAGGAAAGAAGTTAGTTGTTACTATTTGGAACGTCATCTGTCATCAAAACGTTGTCTTGTGGCATATTTCCATTTGTCAGTTGGCAGTTATCATTTAGCCCAAAGCACATTGCTATTTATAGTTTTTATAAAACTAGACAGAATTGAAAAAAAACTACATTGCAGGAAACAGTTAAAATAAGCCAAAAATAGTCCGCAGTGAGGTTGACACATACTCAGTTACTGAGGAAAATTGCAAAACACAGAATTCTTCAAAAAGACCGTGCTTTTTCTTTTAACTTATATAAAACTCCTGAGAGTAAAAACAACGAGTTTTTTTTATGGCTTTAAAAGATCCCTACCATGATATCAGTTTTGTTATCTTGATTTCACTTCCTTTGTTGCATTTCTAAAATACGTTTCATAGTGTCAATTGAGTTCAATGACATAAAGCTTAGCTATATTAGTCTCCGCATCCTTTTAATAACCATCAACATTTTTTCGTCCATATAAATCCGGGACAGCTTTTACTACAAGTCCTTGATCACACTTTTCGACGACTGTTTCGCGGGAATTATTGGGAACCACTAAAAGTTTGAGTCACGATTCTCCGAGCGTGACTATGTTGGATATTMWAAGTGACCGCTGGTGGCAAGAAAACCCATCTGCAATGATTGTCATTCAGGCTGCCGAAAACTTGTATTTATTCATGTTAACTATTTGAATATGCTAATCGCACGCGTTATATTTTAGAAGACGGTTAGTGTATGCGACACCACGACTGTCTAATTGACGATTAAGTGGGAGAAATGTGTCTTTGCGATAAAAATACATGCGATAAAAATACATGGAACTTCTTGGAAACGCGAATGCATTAAAGTCCGTGTCTGGCATATTATGGTTGTGCATAGTGGGTCTCAGTGGTCTTGTGCATCATGACATACAACGATTGGAAGCCGATAAACTCTGTAAACTGTGCTAAGCTTTATTYAGACGTATATTTCGGGATACAACTGAATTGTTTGATCGGAACAAGAAACTTTCAATTTCCGAGCGATTAATTGAATCCAATAAACAAGTTATCGAGCATTTGTGGTTGGTTGGTTGRGTTGAATAAAAATCGACCACCTGAGGGCTCATTCAAAGTGTCTGAAATGACGCCACGAAATTGAGTGTAACAATTTACAGTTTACTAACTCTCGCGATGAAAACAGGTATTATACACAAACATTTACGTATTATACAAGCCACAAAAAAAGAAAACAACTCTAAAAACAATGTTTTACAATCACAGACAAACCAACTCTGTACGAGTGACGTTTCAGTGGAAAATAACAACTTCGCTCCAATGGACAAGAAATTCAAGTCGGGATCGACGAATAAAGTAGTCAGTTTTACATGGAGTAAAAAGGTAACTCGTCCTATAAGTGGATCAGAAGTGCTTTCCGGGATCAACACAGATGTCGAAGAATTAAATCTAAATCAAGCTACGGCAAAGTCCGCTTCTGGAAGTGAAAAACAACTTGAAAAAGAACGGAGAAGTCGAACGGAATCAGATAAAACGAAATTATCAACAGTTGAAGAAGATTCCTTTGAGTCAATGAAGGACAAAATTGCTTGCTTTGTGAGTTACTTAGAAAGCGACACGGATTCTCACTCCGATACGGAACTTTCCCAGCTGCGAGCAGCTAAATGTGAAAATAAACGAAGTGACCAAGGTAACAAAAGTGACGAAGAGAATGAAACAAAGACATCTCGCCTTATGAAAGGRAATCTTGATTTAAAAAAGTCAAAAGAAAGCAATGAGGGGACCCACTTTTTCGAGAAAACGTTTCAGCAATTTACTACGAAATGGGACATGAAAACATGTCCGTTAAGAGAAGGTGTCATAGCGGAGTATTCTCACGCACCTGTTACTAATACATTCAGTAAGGACTATGACGTTACGAAGTCGACAATATGCTCCAATGGTACTCCACACCTACATAAAGCTACAACTAGGTTAAATGCTAATGAAAACAATACTTTATCTATAGACAATCTTGATGAAGATAACGATAAAGAAGTTTCGTCTTTACCACTGAATGCCTTAACACCAGAATCCATCGGTAGATGTGTTGAAAATAACACTTTAATTGAAGAAAATAGTTTTCTTCCTTYTATAATGAAACAGGGAGATTGGAAGAGCACTGCGTTTTCAGCTTGTGAAGTTTTAGCGGCAGTACAGGATAAAAGATCAGATGGATCAAAAGCTGAAAGTTCGCTGAATGTCAACCAATTGAAGGAGRGCAGAGAGCATTCTTCGCCAGGTGGGCATAAATGCAGTGAAAAGACCTCAAAAGAAGAATACGGAGACTCTAAACAAAGAGAGATGCATAGAATAGATGGAAGTGACGTCGAGAAACGTCCTTTCCTTCTGACAACTAATATTGGAACATCTCATGTAAATAAGTGCGAATCGTTGAGCGTCGAAAAAAAAATTAACACAAGAGTAGAGTCGAAGAATTCAAATAGAATTAGACCTGTCAATGATTTAACAACAGGCCAATCATACAAGGGAGACGTTGATAATGAATGTACTACGCTAGTAAAAAAAAGCAGCCTTCCAGCTTCATCAAAAAACCCAACAGTCAAAGGAAGAAAAGTGTTTTGTAATGAGTGCGAGACTGACTCRTCCTGTGAACACGATGAAACGGCTGGCATTCTATCACTAGAGCCGAAGTCAAAGTCAATTGTAAACAGCAGTTCTACACATAAAAACAGAAAAGATAAACCAGAATTAAAATATTTCAAACAAGACTATAAAAAAGATAGAAAGAGAAGTAGAAGCATCTCTTCAGAAAAAGACCGCAGATCTAGAAGCTTATCRTCCGAGCACAGGAAATCGAAAGGAAGTCCAATTCGCAATAGAAGAATCCGACGAAAATATCAAAATCCTCAAGGACGGCGAAAGATGGCCAGTCATTCTAAAAATKGCAGTTCATTTAGATCATCATGGATGGACAATATCGTAGTAAAAATTGCTGATCCCCCTAGACCAGCTAGAAAGAGAAGAAATGCGCCTTCCTGCGAAAAATCCGATTTTCTGSGTCAAAGAAGAAGAAATCGAAGCCCCGAAGTACGAAACGAACCGTCCCATATTCGAGAGAGATCGACTCGCGATGAACATAGGGATGAAAKAGCCGTCAAAAGACGCAGGTGGACGTATGATGACTACGAACGGACAAGCGATGGACGACTTCGACGAAAATCATCGTATGCTCTTGAAAGAGCAGAAACTGAGGAAAATCACCATTGGAAACGGTAGGAGTGTAGAGTGAAATATTCATTAAATGATATTCAGTGAACGATAAAATATTCTTTTATGTGTTATAATATGGTGCGATCAGCTGCTCATTTTCATCTAGAAAAATATTACCTGTATGTATTAATGATCAGAGCGCAAAATATTTGGATTATTGATTGAAACATGTGAGCCATGAAAATGTTTCATAATCGTTGATTTTGTTATACATTTTTCATCGTTATTTTTTGTGCATGTAAGTTTTCTAATTGTTGTACTTCTGAACTGTAAAAGCTACGTAGTTAAACGGCTTAATTATGTTCGACATCACAAATTACTCGCAATRTGAGTCGGTCACCTTATTATTAACTCTCTACCCCCCGATTCACATCTTAATTTAATCAATGCCAAGCGCGAGAACCACGTGAGCCATTGAAAACTATGGCTACTCAGTTAACAGCTGTTACTGTTTAACGAATGTTTTTCAGTTTTCCTTCACTCAGAGTATGCAATCTCATTTTTTCTTCATTCTACTTCTATCAAGAAACTAAATATTTCCTGAACTGTCTTCACTTTGAAAAAGAGKTCAAATCTAAGTTTATAGTTTGTCAATTTGCTGCTTTACAGCCGAACCTCTATTAAGCGGCCCTCTTTTTAGCGGTCACCTTCCATTAAGCGGGCACTCATGAGTTCCCCATAAGTCGATTCTCAAGTACATTTATACTGTAAAACATGTCCTTTATTGTTCTTTCCCGAAGGTGACCGCTTTATGGAGGTTCGAGTGTATATTAACTGTTAATGTTAAAGTTTACGCACAATACAACAGATGCCTGTTCATGTAATAATGATAGCACTGATAACCTATTCTTTGATTAGATATGACGACGAGAGCACTATGCCTTACCAAGGATATGCAGACAGTCAAGTCCAGTCRCTTTTAAGACAGCTGTGTCAAAACTACATCACTCAACTCTACCCTTCAAAAYCAGCCGAGAATCGGGTAAAGTCGAAGTCACCTCAAGTTATTTCAGGTGGAAACAAACTAAAACCTCATCGAAGTTGGTAYATGTCCCTCAAGGTACGTATCAAAAAACTTGCTTACACTCCTAATTCCCTGGATGCATTTCGCGTGCACTAGAGGATTGGGGACGAGTCAAGTTGCAAATAAAAGATAGTTGACAAACCAATTATCAAAGTTTAGTTCAAGAAAAAGACAATTGACAAAAGACATTGTCATATCCRCAGTTGCTGCACCGCGAAATTGTGAATCAAACTTTGATACGGTACTGACCCCCTTCAAATGGGTTGGAAAAGGGGGAAGGTTCTTCTTTCTACCTTAGCCCCTTTATTTTGACTGAATTTCTATGGATGTATGTGAAATACCATTCCTTTATTGCTCYGCAGGACTGGGTTTCATACGACGGAGAGACGTGTAAAAAGGAGGGTTAGTATTGCATTTTCTGGCATTTCCCTCTTTTCAGATTTTGTGTTTTCGCGAGAAAGTCAGTAACGCACTTTCTTATGGTTTGTTTAGGTYTAGGCAAAGCATCAAAAACACAAAAGGCTGTAAAGAATTCCGCAACGAACAAGAAACAACAAAAAAGTGCACCAAAACAACAAAGCCTTATTTCAGATGACACTAAAGACCGCGACATTAGTGCCATAACAGACGGGGAAAGCAATGAAATTCAGTCTAAAAAGATCATCTACAAAAATAGTAACATTTGCTCCGATGACAAAAATGATATCTCAACAAATCAGGACACTGCAAAGACTCTTACTAAGGATCAAAAGATTGAAACTAAAGAACCGAAAAATGCCCCTAAAAATACCAGTTCTACAAATGATAACCATGCAACAATGGCGATTGATGAAATTTCTGTCGCTGGTCAGGCTAGCAATTTGGAGGATGATTMTGGCTCGTTCATAAAGCAAAAACCTTTCGACAAGAATGCAAAGCAAGAAACCACCTCAAAGACCTTAGCCAATACTTCTGAGCAGAACTCACAGTTGATTAAGACTGATAAACATTTGATGCAATCTGATTTGACTGAAGAAGCAGAAAAACAAAAGAAGTCAGTTGAAGAAGATAAACAAATAAGATCAACACACTCAAAACCTGCAAAAACGAACGGTGGTATTGGTAATGAAGATTTGGATAACCTCTCAAATACAGAAAGCGTTCTAACTCATAACCTACATTCTACCAAGGATAGAGGCAGCTTTGAGAAATTCGCCTCGGATACTTTTGCGATATGTAACTTGAGTAAAAATGTTACTTCCAGTTTTGGAAATATGAAGAATGATTTGATAGTGACATTGACGCCATCGTCGTACTTGTACACTGAAAACAACATCAAAGAAAAACCTGTTGCGCATGCCTCGTACAGTCAGAATGCAGATAGTCAGGGAATCTTTGTCCCTACATCATCTTCGTTTGCGAAAACCACTAATATTTCATGCAATACTCTATGTTTTCACTTTGATTTTGACTATTATGATACTGCGTTGACTGATTCGACCGCAATGGTTCCAGGCTCCTCAGTGAGTGGGTTAGGCAGTGGTACTGATATAGATTGCGCGCAAAGCTTTGATTCAAAGATGAATGGTGACAAAGCAGTTAATGATGTTACAATTGAAGAACTAGAGAAGGTAGAGGCTCCACTTCAGGCTATTGTTCATCAAACAAGTAACATTGCAGATATATTACACACCAGTCAAGACACAGAATCATCGGGAACAAAAGACAATAATTCCATATTGCCGCTTTCAAGTCATTCTCAGGATCCATCCGATAAGAATGAATCTATTACAGAGTCTAAAGAACTAAACAATCTTCCTCAACTAGATCGTGGTTCTTTTCGATGTCACAGTGTTGCTGAAACGTCAACAAAAAGTCATTCTCAGGATCCATCCGATAAGAATGAATCTATTACAGAGTCAAAAGAACTAAACAATCCACCTGAACTAGATCGTGGTTCATTTCGATGTAACAGTGAAACGTCAACAAAAAGTGCGACAAGCAATACCAACGAGAAAACTTCTAGTTCCTGTGAGCCCGAGATTCTTGTCCATAAGGACCTCCTGACGCACCATATTGGAAGCTATAGTCAACAATCTCCATCAGCTGAAAAATCTCAATTGAACTCAGAAAGTGATACCGCGAAAATTCAGTCTACAGACACAAATAACAATAGTACTACGTTAGAAATTCCTCTTGCAGCATCAGAGCACGACCCATCCAGTGGTACCGTGAGTACGGTATCCAATTCGGTCATAAATACCGCGTTAACAAGGGAGACGCATTTGACAAGAGGAGGGGATGTCGGTGTCGCTGCAGTGATCAAACCAATAATTCAAACTAATGAAAAAAGTGTTACTGATGAATTAAAGTGGCCAAGAATAGAAAAAGTTCAAAGCACTCAACCGCTAGTTAATGTCCACAATCGTCATGATGCTCATTCTGACAATTATGRAATTCATTTTGATGCAACAAGCGACGAAAGTCGAACATACAAACTTCAGCCGCAAGGCAATACGCGTGATTGGGGCGAAAATTATTCTTCTGTACCCAATAGCTTTACCTTTGATCCCTCACATTCGCAGCATTCTACAGGTTATTTCAACCAGCCAGCTATGAATTACAGGCAGGACATTAGTCCTCCCTCCAAYCAGGGCAGTAGATTTATAACAACTTTTTCAAACTACACCAGAGTTGTCATCAACAGATCGCTGAACGAACAAGGAGTGCCGTTTGTACCGCAAGACGACCAACAGTGCCTTCCAAACCCACAGTTTACACAATTGCAACCAGATTTTACCAATCAGCAAGTAAATCAAATAAATTCTGCCGCGCAGTCTATCCCACTTCAGCGGTTTACCCCATTGCAACAAGCAGAATCGTCAAACCAGCAAGTGATCCAAACGAATTGTGACACGTACCAGCGGTTTACCCCATTGCAACTGGAATCATCCAATCAGGAAGTAAATCCTTATATGCAGTCTTTTCTACATCAGAGGTTTACTCCTTTTCGACCTGAATTAACCAATCAGCAACTAATACAAATGGATTCGTACCAGCGATGTGTCCCATCCCAAGAATCAAACAATCATCAGGGAAAAGTTGATGCTCTGCCTTACCCATACTTAACAACTCCCGAAAGCAGCCCTTGGGATTCTCATGTAGAAGGCGCGCAATTTGAAAGACGTCAGCAGCACGAAGTGCAAATAAATTCGTTTGTAAATAATGGAAAACAATTCTACCAGCCAAAAGAATTTTCTACACAACACTTCCAAACAATGAAGCATATTAGTCAACAACAGCAGCCTTATCGTCACTATAAGCTGCACGAACCGCAGCAGATACAAAATCAGCTACAACAGCAGAAGCAACAACAACAACAACAGCAGCAACAACAACAGTATCACCTTCAACAGCAGCAACAGCAACAGCTACAACAACACCAGCTGCAGGTGCAGCAACATCACCAACAACAGCTACAACAACATCAACAACAACAGATGATACAACATCATAATCTACAAGATCAACAGCAACGTTTTCATAAGGATTTGTCTCAGTTTCATCATGAAAACTATCAGAATTCAGATACTAGTAAAACGCAATATGGGTTACAACTACAACAAAATAAACAGCACGTTCAACAACAGCAAATTCTTGGTTCGTCCGGACAAAACCGAAGTAGTGAGSAATGGCATTCAGAATTCTTACAGTCTATTCCAAATAAAACACGTGATATGTCCCAGATTCCATGGGGACAGCATGCTTTGGACCGTCAACATCAAATCAATATATTATCGACCAACTCGCAGCGAATGCCTATAAATCCTCTTTATGATAAACGGTGATACAGTACAAGTCTAGTGGGAAATCACTACGAGAAAAGACGACGAACGGGAAGATCACCAACGATTGTGAAGGAACATCAAGTTGTAGTAAAAAARTATAACTAATTTAAGGACCAATACTCAYATTCTTYCTATGCTTCYGTAATGCAGACGTACTGGGCTGCAAGGCAGTGGATTGTATCTCTCTTTATATGCCCAGTTGTACAACGATGGATGTACAGTCATTGTACATAAATACTTGATATCGAGAAGTATTAGTTTAAAAAGGTTTCTGATTAATTTAATTTTCATATCAGAATATTATTTATGATGCTACAATTTAAAAGGGGCAGGGTAAAAACAAGACAAAACAAAAAAAATAAAAAAAAACAAAAAAAAAACAGGAAAGAAAGAAAATCTAAAAAAAGAAGAGCACGATCGTGCAGGGGCTCGAACCCTTGACGGATAAAATGAAAAAGGTTGGGACGATTCCCCCGAGACATTCTGTGAAGCTGAGGCGTCGAATCGATTTACATTCCGGTTAGAGATTTCGGCTCTTCCATGCTATCCCGATAATTGGTCCTAACTTCGCGCTAACTAAAAAGCCAGTGAGGGAGAAGCTATCCGGCCCCTAGACACTGATGGATAACCCCTTGCACTAACTAGGCAACTATCGAAA